CTTTGTACTTCGATCTGATGGTACTAATAAAAAAACAATCTGAATAGATACGACCTTCAAATTGGGTAGAATAAATCAAAGTTTAATCTCATTGCTTGAATTTAGACGATTTTAATTGATTTAATTACTTATTCTCTTTTCGAAATAAATATTGTTATATATTAATATGGAATTTTGTATGAGTACCATCTATTGGGCTTTAATCACATTCCAAAGACCCGTACGAACACGTGCAGAGTTTTTATCCAGATGTTCCATGGAACTGGCATTCCCGAACTTGAAAACAGTTAAACCATTTGCAAAACTTTTGCTATTTGAAGAATCAATTAAAAAACAAACCACAAAAAATGATGTTGGACGGATAAATCCTTTAAATGCAGAAAATTAAATATATATCTTTCAAGTGCGTTGATTTTTGTGTTTGTTTCGATTAGAGGCCAGCAGTGAGGTTTTTGATCTTAATTTGAGTATAGAAAGAATAAGGTATAATAAATATATTATAAATAGAATACGCGAATGTGTTAGAACATTAAGCATTTTATATGATATAAGTTACAGATGTAGTTTAAAGGAAAGACTTTAAAACCCATCGACGTATGTCAGCCATAAATATTAGTCGAATTTCATGCCCTTAGGCTCTTTCAGCTCTTCCGCATTTGTACAGACAGACAGGGCTAGATATATTTGCAGCACAATGTACAGGGTATATAACAAGATTAATTTGACAAGTAAAACAAATATTAGATATTAAGACGCAAAGCTAATTCATTATTAAGGCGGACTTTGCCTTCATATGCAAATATACATATTACTTTATTATATACATATATATATATATATATATATATATATATATTGTTTTTATACCCTTGTAGAGAATATTTTTGACTTTGTATTTTGAAAACAAAGCTCCATAGAAAGAATCGATCTGTATTTGCAAATTTAATGTCTTTTGAGATAGAGTACTTTGGTAAACCTCAGTATAGCTTCACAATTCTTCTCGCATATCAACATAAAGGGTATTTAAACTTAGTTGTGCCGAAAATAGTCGCTCTTATATGTTTTATATATGTGCTACTCGACTGGCTTAGCATTTTATGGCGCTATTGTGTCTAGCCGAAAAAAAGAAATTGTATTTGTATGCGTGACAGCGTTCGGCTGGGCAAAATAGTTATACAATTTTGCGTAGTAGTCAGCGCAAAAGTTCCGCATTTAAAATTGAATCTAAAGCCATTAAATTATGTGGCAGTTCAATTGAGAAAATAAAACAACAAAGTAAAAATCAATTTAGACAAAAAACAGCAACAAAATGAACTGCGATCGTTTGCTTGATTTACTCTTTAGTTCAGTTTTAGTGTAATTATGCAGTTTATCAGTTTTGAGTAATTAGGTACGTCAGTTAGTCAGTCAACCAGTCAGTCAGCCAGTCAGTCAGTCAGTCAGTCAGTTTTCTGTCTGTCTGTCTGCTGACTTTGAACTTGAATGTGGCTGTGTGTTCATTAAGCTAAATTTCTGTCGCGTCGTCTGAGCTGTCTTTAAAAAAGAAAAAACAAATCTGTAACCGTTCAACGGGCCGTATACGCGATGTGTAATGTGTGTAAAACGGTGCGTAATTTCATTTTTACTGCCATTCTTCGAAATGGCAACAAAAACGTAAATAAAATACAAAAAAACAATAACAATAACATAAATGTGCTTAAAATCAGTACACAACATTTTACAGTGTGTTCTGTTTTTGTTTTTTTTTTTTTTTTTAAATATTTTCCGTATAGCCGATAAGCTATTATAAAAAGAGCAAATAGAAAGAAAAAAGAAAAAAATACCATTGCAATGACAAGTATTTCCGAGCATTCTGAATTACCCGGAATGGCCAATAGTCCCGTGGCCAGTGCTGTCACTTCAATGTTGCCAAATTCAAGGTGATAAGAAATTTAATAGACTTCAGCATTAAGCAAGCCGATAAACGTACTTAAAGTCTTACTAATTGAAATATTATCGCGCTCAAGTGCCGAACACACACATACACACACACAATTACAAAACATTGCCTTTTTTGTAGTATTATTTATAAAAAGCTCAAAAGGTTTCTGGACTTTGGCTTTAATAAATTAAAAGGCTTCAATATGCTTGAAACCTGCCCCAGTTTATTTTCTTTTTCGAGGTAGATCTTGCGTACAGCATCCCATGTTAATTATGCATAGTAAAAAAAAAGATTTATTAATTTATATATTAATCACAATATATTGATTAATTAATTCATCAGCTCAAATAGTTATAAGCCGCTGTTAATTACACATGTTTGTGTCTACCATTAAAGAAGCCGTCTTTGAGTGTCTACTAATGCATCTCTTTTGCTTAGCGAGCAAGGGAGCGGAGGGAGGGAAGGAGGGGGGGCGGTTTTGGGGGAACAACACCCTTGTTATTTTCCCACTTCAATATCAAGCAACTAGTTAGTTATTTCCCAAAATTTATTAGCCAACAATACAAACTTAGTACATAAATCTTTTAAAAAAAATTAATAATAATAATAAGAATAAAAATTGCACGTGCCAGCATTTTTGTTTTTAACATTTATTATAAGTAAAGCAAATTGAAAAAATAAAATGCTATACACTGATTAGATTATGTTACTTTTCGGAACTTGTGTTTTCACCTGTTTTCCTTCTTTCTAACACACATGCGCAGTCATTGTCAGCTAACAATTGTTATTTATTATTGGAGTGTTTTTTTTTTTCTTTTAATATATTGATTGAAATCTTACAGGTTTCAATGTCTGTCGTGATTAATTTGTTTGCTTTCTGTTAAACATTATTGATGGGCTTCAAAATATTAAATATAATGCTACCATCAAAAAGTTAAACTATCTATTTGCTACTTGAGAAGCTGCATATTATACTGAGAATTTGATGGGCTCATAAACAATTGATCAAATGTAAGCCTATTAGAATTGCATTTTGCGTAAAAAATGATATTTTACTAACCAAAACCTTTTTGTCAAACTCTTTTCTGTACTCCTTTTTCCAATTAGTTTCTTGCCTCTGGCTTATCGTATGATATAAAAGTTAAAGATCCAAAAATGTGGTATGCAGATTATCGAATTTGTTTCTAATTTTGATTTATTGTATTTTGAAGATATTTGTATTATGTATATCTATCTTATCTTATCTTCTGTTGATATATTTATATATAAATATATATATATTTATATTTTTTATTGATTTGCGATCTCGAGACCGACTTTCGGATTGTCTTGATAAGTGTGGGCTCTGTTGTCGCAACAGCGATCGCTGGGATTCCAAATCTAATCGCATAAACTGTCAAATGTCCATAAACTTGAAAACGCGACACGCTTCAAAGACTGGCCAACAGTCGGCTGTGTGTTAGGTATTGGATTTTGGATTAGTTGGCAGTTCGCTTGGCAACTGGCTGGTTGTCTGTTGTTTGTTGTTTGCTGCTTGCTGCAGCTGCAAGTTTTTCACTTTAACACACATTCGGATGGCCAAAACTGGTTGCTTTTCAATGCGGCTGCTTAAATGTTTTCATTAATGCAAATGCAAAATGTGTGGGCTGCTAAACACGCTTCGATCAAAAACAGGTCCCTAACTTCCCAACAGTCGGCGAATTTTTGGAAACAAAAACGAAATATATATATATATATATATATAAATATATATTTACTAGCTGGTATTTCCCGACCTTTGCTTCAAGTTTGAAACATCCACCCATTTTGGCTTGCACAGAACAAAAATCCACATCTCCAAGTCTAAAGTTAAATTTTACACAAATACCTGCAAATGTGTTCGAAGTACCTCGAATATGGAACAAAAAATTCAAATTAACGTCTTCCGCTCATTTTAGTCTTGTGCTGCTTAAAAAAGAAAAACACTTGTTTAAACATCCTTTGACCCTCATTTTCTAGCCAAGAGAGATGGATGACATAGCAACATTATTGAGTATTACACAAGTGAAACAAATTAGTTCGCAACCCAAGTGGCGAAGTTATAAGATATAATTCCGCGCATAGATATGTCGTTTGGAATAATATACCAATTGTACCCGTAGGGATTAGCACTATCGATTGGCATTCAAGAAAATCAAAATCTAAATTTTGATAAAATTTAAGAAAAAACGGGTTCGTTTCGAAAATCAGAACTTTTTTGATGATTTATTTCAATAACTCGGGTAAATATCGTCCGATTTTGAAATGTTCTACCTTTTTAAATTCGTATGGATCCTTAATATGAATGCGTATATAAAATCGATGGGTTTAAAAGAGTTGTTGACCGAAAAACGATTCGCTTGTGTAGTCCACCTTTTTTGATGATGTCCAATTTTGGACTGATACGCGTTTTTGGCCACATTTAAGTTGCCGAAGATAATATAAACATGTTCGTCTTTAGTGGCTTTTGATAAATTTCTTTCAGCATGAGTACATATGTTGGGTTCGCAAATGTCTTCTTTGTTGTATTAAATATTTATTCACAATGTATAATACACATATACAAATAGTTCAGGTTTGTTTTTTAAGAGCCAATAGCTTGTGCCTTACGAGTTTGTTGTTTGTGCGGAAGTGGAAGATGTTTGGGCAGGTCAAAAACTAGAGCAAAAGTATTGCCGCAATGAATATCATTTTTAACTTTAATTTTTGTGTGTTTTTTACTATTGCCTTGTGTTGTGCAAAAAATATTCATTGATTTTCGAAACTGTCGTATATTTTTGTTTATAATATTTTATAATTCTACAACTTACAAATTCATTGAAACAAATACTAGAACGAGAACAACAATATATGAACGTTATATTGTTGCTTGCAGCCATATCAACGGTCCGGTGACTAAAGCTCTGTCCTTTTAGTCCTTCAAATATTTAATATCCGCCAACCCACACCCGCCTCGAAGAACAGGACGCACAATAACGAACTGGACACAGCACACAGGACGCCTTACCCTACACACACACCACACATACACACACACAGACTCACACACAAGTTAACACACACACTCAACGCACACACAACACACACACACAAGACAAACCCAACACACACTCACATACAATGTAAACCAAAGGGCTTTGGTTTTTTCAATAACATTTTTATTCAATTTATATTCCTTAAACATTTTCCAAAAAACTTTCAAAACTCCATAATCACAATAGACTCGCGCATTCATCAATAATTTATTAATTTATTTATTTAACCTTTGTAAAGGAAGTCAATAAAAATTGTGATATTTTCAATTTCGTTTAGTGATAGTTCCAATCGAGAACCTTTTGCACAATGCAAATATGCCAAAACTTTGAAGCAGCATAAAGAAAAAAAAAGCAGAAGCTCCCCAATACATATATACGCATAAATATATATATAATTGCACCCCAATTAGTTGCAAGTATTCTTGTTTTTTCTTGTTTAGTTTGAATTCTAGTTATCTAAATGAATTTCCATTGTGCAACTGAGAATACTCACAAAAACAACAACAATCAAATAAATACAGCTGCATTTTTGGCTTTGACTTAAGCTGTTGCTGCGCACGCTTTAGGCCCAGCTAGTAAAACAAGTAAAAAAAAAAAACAATAACACACACACACACACACAGACACACAACACTTACACTAACACACACACTAGCGATCAATGCAAAAATGTCGCAACCGAACGAACATCAAACAACACACATGCAACACAATCAAAATACAGACCATAGCACAGACAACAACCAGCACACCGCATTCCACACACCACCCAGCCCAACCATACCAAATGAGCTGAAGCAGAGACAGAAACCTGCGCTCTCACCGTTGAATGTGCGACGACTTTCCACATATGCCGCCCACAATGATGCCGCCGAATTTGGGGCTGATGATGGTGTCGCGCCGCCGTCATTGTCCACAACCATCGATATTAATACGAACAACAACAATTACCCTAACACCAACACCAATACCAACAACAACCAAAACAACAATAATAACAACAGCTACAATAACAACAATAACACATCATCAACGTCCTCACCATATGCCACGCCACCAATATACCAACAACAATTGTCAACAATGACCACAACAACACCGCTAGATGCGGCCTTGGATGATAAATACAAGTTATTTACCATCTACAATGGAAACGGTGAGTGACGACGACAAATCAGTTGGCAGCAGCAAACGGCAGCAGCATCGTCTCATCATCATCATTATCATTATCATTATCATCATCATTATCATTGCTGTATGTAGGCATTATAGATCAGTTGCCGATAACGATAACGATAACGATTACGATAGCGATAACTGTGCTGCTGCGTCAAGTGTGCTGGGTACTGAGTACGATTGCCCCGTTTCTCTCTTTTTTCTCCCCGCCATATCGGAGCTCTTCGGCTCTATTCTTTTATAAGCATATTTTCTATTTTCCTCTCTTTTGTTGTCTCTAACTCTCTTTCATCTATTTTAAGCATTTTATACTATAATTGCTTAGTTTATATAGTCCTTATTTAAGCCATGCAGAGTCTTGATAGTTTTTTATATATTCATATGCATACTTATCTACATACCCATCGTCCGACTGTCTAGCATATCGAGCTATAAGTATTTCTTACTGCTATCTAAATCAGAACATGGTAACTTATAGCAGTTCGTAGAATTTTATTTATCAGCCAAATTTGACTTAAGCTTAGGCTAGATTAGACTGACAGACTAGCCACATAGTACTCTGAAGCGAGCCAGTTAGTTCAAGAATAATATAATGAATAGATTACATTTGATATTCTCTTAATATATTTTAATTTTAATTTTAAAACTTACAGCCTAAACAGAATGCTATGTTTATATGCACTATTTAATCGTGTCCCTTAAATACTTTATCTCGATTTTCAAAAATCAAATATGTAGATTTATTTAGTATAGCTTAAGCCCCAGTCAGTTTGATATACCTACTTTTAATAGCTTGAAATTTCAATATAAATACAAACATTAAGTTCAAAAGAAACACATATTTGATAATTAGGTAAAAACATAGTCTCAAAACTTTGAACAACTTTTAGCAATGAAAATTCAATTTGTTTTGTTTTTAATCTTAAAGCTTAAGTTAAACATTTTTTTCTATATATATATATATATATTTTTTTTTAATTTTATATTTTAACTGAAAAAAAGCAAGAATCATAAATGAAATTTTAGGACTAGTTTAGTAAGTTTAGTTTCAGTTTAGTTTTAATCTAATTGGATGTGTGGCTTACGTCTTATAAGACTTTTAACATGATATGACTACAAATAGAACTGAGTAGCTATTATGAATACTCTGTAAGGGCATTAACAGCTTCGGTCTTACCGATCTTACATTTTCTACAATCTATTGCAATGCTTATGCATAATTTCTTTCAAAATGTTTAAACTAATGTCGCATCATAATAGACACACACGCACACACACACATACACTCAATTACACAATTAACATAGAGCACAGCAACAATTACACTAACCAACATTGTATGATAACTCGATGTATTTTAATAGATTATTCAAAGGAGCATCAATTAAAATTTTGCGCCAGAGATTTTTTCATTTGATGTATTTTTTTTTTTTTGTATTTGGTTTTATTATATTGTCTTATTTTACAATCGCACAATCGCAATTCGTATGCATGTTTATAATAGATGATAAACACATAAAATCTTTAATTATTATTGCATGCTATTTGTTGCTGTAGTTGTTTGTTTGTTTTGTTGTCTGCGCTTTTATGGACGAACGATTTGTAATTTATTAACTTGGCGCAAACAAAAAAAAAAAAAAAACAAAAAAAAAACAACAACAACAATTGTTCTATTCACTTGGCAGCTAAAAACTCGTTTAACCGAGCAACAAAAAAAAACATAACATCAACAATCGCATTTTTAAACATATTTTTAGGGGATAGGGTATAGGGTAGCGCTTATAAGTAATGCTCGTCTTTTATTGTAATGGTAATTAATTGCCTTGCTAATTGCACAACGCTCTTGACTTTAGTTGCATGCCACACACGCACACACACATACACACACACACGTACACAGATACACAGTTAGAAACTGTAGCTAGATATCCCCTAACTAACTGCATATTTGTCTCTTTCCATTTCTGTTTCTTCCACCCCCATATTGCACAGACCCCGACAATGAGAAGTTGTCCGGCCTTCCACATTCGACAACTGGTTCACTAAGCTCAATCATCACGACGTCCATAGCATCCTCCGAACCGGATCCAGGTGCGGCGGGTGGCGGCGGCAACGGCGGCGGAGGAGGTGGAGGCGGAGGCGGACATGGCGGCTTAGGCGCCCTGGCAGCGGATGCATCCAGCATTGCTGGCATCAACGGCAGCTCCGAGGAGAAGTTGGCACTGAATCGACCCGGCATCAAACAAGAGAAATGGCAAACCATATTGCTGCAGGTGTCCATACCGTTTTTCCTGGCCGGCATTGGAACTATCGGAGCGGGCATTGTGCTTGGCCGCGTCGAGGTAAATATGTTGATAATTCCATTAAATCGACGCATTATCAAAATGTGCCGTGCTTCGGCACTGAGTGTCACGGCTTGGTTAATGGTTTGTAAGTTCGGTTCGTTGATTAGCTAATGGAAATCTCTTTCCCCCTCTCCACTCTCTCTACGCGCCCTCTCCCTCTCTCGCTCAATCTCTAAGTGAACTGATTAATCTCATAAATTGCCCCATTGACATTGCGCAAGTGCCGTGATGTAGATAAAAGAGGTGCGGACAATTAAAATGACACGCAAATTAAATTGTAAAATCTAATGACTGTTACTCCGTCGGCTCATTAAAATTACACATTACAAAGCAACAATCCGAATCAGACACAAGCTAAACAAATTTGTTTTCGTTACCATCCCCAGGCCTGAGAAAATTTGACAAAAGAAACACAGACACGACACCAGCTGCACTGCAGCAGTTTCTAAATCAGCATCTAATTAAATTAATTTTCAGCACTTGCAAACAATTTAACTTGACTACAATTCACTTACATTTAATTCTACAATCCCTGCCTATGCTCGATTTTAATGTTGATTCCCAATTGTCCTTAATTAGACGCAAAATCATCAGCTGCGCAAAAGAAAGTTGTTCAAATTGAGTCCAAATAGAAGTAAATGAATAAAGATTCGATTCTTGAAGACTCCTTGAATGGGCCATAAACGGTTCTTATAGATTTTATATTTTTTTAATTAAATAGCTAAATTTGAATACTTACAAGGCTAAAGTCAAAAATATTTTGTTCATATTTACACCCCGAAAATAACACTGCAAAGTCTCAGCTTGAGTCTCACTTGATAATCAAAAAGTCGAGAAGGCATTTATTCGCCTATTCTACATCTTTTTTAACCATTTTCTTGGAAATTGCATAATAGGAATAGGCTTCATATAGACTTTTTATAAAACGACTCTAAAATCCAAGCAAAAGTTGAATGATTTAGTTAGATCAATAACACCTTAAAGGTTCATGAGCTCTCTGGGGAAGACAATAACTCAGCTTAAATCCGATGCCAATAAATAATTATATATATATATACATTTCTTTATAAGGTTCGACATGAATATCTTATGAATATGTATACATATGAGCCAAAAAAAAAAAATAACGTTCAGCACTTAATAAATATTTATTTGGCCGCTAATTAGCCTAAAAATTCTGGTATAAGCTTACCGCTGGTCCAGTTACAGGCGGCATATACCCAACTCGAGCTTCCAGCAAAATATGATAAAAGACGAACCGAACTGATACCAGAAAAAAAAAAAATAATATATATAGCATGTGTATATGTATATATAACCTGGGCCAGCCTTGCCTGATTTGATAATGACGTCACAATCAGATTTATAATCGCTATTTATGTGTAGCCATAAATCGCGGCCAATGCATTATACTTTATGATGGCTACTTTATATTAGGCAACCAACTAATTTATATGGTGCTTTGTGATCGCAGAAATGGTACGTCTTCAAGAATGTTAGCGAGCTGTTCATACTGGTGCCGGCGCTGCTTGGCCTAAAAGGTAATCTGGACATGTGCCTCGCCTCTCGACTCTCAACGCAGGTCAATTTGGGCAATATGACAGCGCGATCGAATGTGATACGGATGATTGTCGGAAACATTGCATTGGTGCAGGTGCAGGCAACAGTTGCTTCCTTTCTGGTTGCCATGTTTGCCACAAGTGTGGGCGCAGCCATGACCGGTAACTTTTACTTTGAGAATGTGATGCTGTTGACCGCATCGGCCATGTTTACGGCGACCTCGTCGTGTTTTGTCCTGGGTAAGCTTAACATGCTGAGTCCAAACTTTTGCCTTGTTTAACATATATATTTTAATGACATTGCAGATTTTGTGCTGGTGGCTGTGATTCTATTCTCCCAAAAGTATCGCCTAAATCCGGACAACCTGGCCACGCCGCTGGCTGCCTCTATTGGTGATGTTGTCTCGATCAGTTTGCTGTCTTTCATTGCCTCGCTACTCTATGAGAATATAAGTATGTTGCCCCCACTCTCTTCTATAAAGCTGCTAAAGCACTTGCTCTAACGTCTTCTCTCCGCTGCAGAGACCCATTTGTGGATCACTTTCATTGTGGTTACCTGCTATCTGATACTGCTGCCCATGTGGGTCGTCATTGTGCTGAAAAATGAGTATACACGGCCGGTGTTAAAGAGCGGTTGGGTTCCAGTGCTATCAGCGCTCTGCATCAGCGGGTAAGATCTATCTACATTTCTAAATATCATCTTCTCACTCGCATTCAGTCACTCAGTCTGTTGTGAAGTGCACTTGGTTCTTGGGTGCTTGGTGCTTGCCGCCTGAATTGGGCCGTGATAAGCACAATTTGAGCTTCTATTTCTATACTTTGTAATTTGTGCCAATTCATGTTCAGCATGCGGCATTAGGTGTGCTAAATTTGGCAACACTTTTTGATTGATCGCTTTATTTTATTTTTATTTGTTTCTCATTATTTATAAGGCTGCAAATCGCCAGCTTAGCCAATGTCCATTGTTTTTTGTTGTCCTTGACTCGCAACGTGGCGGTCAGCGCGGCCCAGTTTTGGCCAAACTTGGTTTATTTATAGACAACACGGGTATTAATACACCTATATTATATAAGCATATATTATTAACGATTTTATAAATTATCGGGCATTTAATGCTTAGTTTTAATAGGTTTAATGACTTGTATGCTACTTGAGGTTGTCTAGACGGTTTCAAACTTGAGATAAAAGACATGCCAAGTCACCTTTAAATAGTGATATGCTCCTTGGGGTTCGGGCTGAGATTGTTGCATGGGAAAGACCAAAATTTAAATTTAATCAGTAATTGAGAGCTCTGAGCTCATTATATATATTTATATGGCTTATATCTATAATGTGCAGAGTTTTTTCAGATTCTTAGCAGAGAATTGAACAGATCTTACATGCTTACGTAGAGCTTTAATAATCTTAAAAACCGTTGTTTCTTTTTATTTACATTTTGCAGGCTCGGTGGTCTCGTATTGGACGCCGCTGTGGAGGTCTTCACAGGTTTTGTGGTCTTCCAGCCGATTATTAACGGCATTGGCGGCAATCTGGTGTCAGTGCAGGCCAGCAAAATATCCACAATGCTGCATCAAAGCTCAATTATTGGCATTATACCACCGCACACAAAGATCGTCGAGTGGCCGTGGCGAGCACTCTTCAAGGGCGGTAAGTTGGCCAGCACACAACTCTATGCAACTATGTTTGCTAAATTATACTTATTCAATTTTACGCACAGTGCCCTATGCTAAGACGGCACGCATTCTCATCGCCATGTCCATACCCGGCAATATATTGTTCATCTTTGCGGCCGATTATATAAACATGAGCACGACTACCGTAACGTGGGTATTTATGTTATCCTATTTGATCGCCAGTTTGATACAGGTAAGTTTGAGTAGTCTCCTTTAAAAGAACTTAACTAAACTATTTTTATATATTGCCAACAGGTGATGATGTTGCTCTACATTGCGCATATCATTGTGCACGCAATGTGGAAATGGAAGATCGATCCGGACAATTCGGCTATACCATATCTGACAGCGCTTGGTGATCTACTGGGTAGCAGCTTGCTGGCTGTCGCCTGGCTTTTTACGATGTCGGTGAACAAACAATATGGCTCCAATTTGGACACACTGAATGCGCCCAACTAGCGACAAAGCCAACATACATAATTTAGCTGTGGGGCCGCATCGTTTTCGATGGTGCCCAGTTTCTTAGTTAGCACGCAATAGGATAATGATAATTGAGAATGATATGAAATTGCAGATGCAGCAACATAATACAAAGAACTGTAACGTACCTAAATTCTAACATAGAAACTGAACGTATATACATGTCTGCATACACAAAGATAAACACCAAAACCACACACATAATACAATACACAAAACAAAAAAACAAAAAAAAGAAGAAAAACAACAACAACACTAGACTACATCAAACCCAAAACAAATAGACAAAAGACCTATGCAAATATTTTTAAAATATTTCGAATGTTGAGGATGATTCCCCTTTTTTGTAGCTTTCACATGGCTTTTGCTTGTGTTCCTTTGCTCTACCAAGATATTATGTACCGAGTATATTGTAAATTTTGAAGGTCTGCCCTGTGTTGGCTTGGTCAGCCACATGGCAGGACGCTGCGTAATATTTTTTAAGGCTTTTAGGACAATATTATACATATATAAATAAGCTTCTCCAAAACGAGAGAAGCAAAGTTCATACAATAGTGTAAAACATCAAACCAAACAATATAGGAATTTTCATTTTTATTGTTTGTGTTCTGATGGTGCCTAGTTTTCTTTAAGCATCTAAACTATATAAATTGTACACTAAAATAGTCTTTAATATGGCCTACTTAATTTTTATATGATACAATTTATAGTATTAGCGCAGATTTGATTTTTGCAAGTCTCGCTTTATTGTTTTAAACATGTGTTTTTTCCCCTTATATAAGCAATCCATTTTTTTTTTTGCTATGCGCACCTCCCAAAAACAACAATAAAACCATATTATTATTTATTGCCCCTGTTAAAAAGCATAGGTGTATATTATTTTTTTTTTTTATTTGTAAAAAATATTTTAAGTTGAACACATTTGTGTATTTGTATGTATTGAAAATTAAGAATGTAAAATTATAATGTATCTAATTATTATATTGTTTGTGCGTTATGTGAAGCGAACAGGGAAAGATGAGACGTTCTGAAAGGAAATGTGATCGATATTTAATTAAAATAATAATTATAAATTAATGTAATACATAAAAATAGCATGATTATTGTCCAACGAACGAAACAATAATTAAAATTATTTAATATGTTGGAATAAACGAAAGAACGACATTAACAAAAAGTGCATTTTATTTTATAACGGCCCAAAATTTAAACAGGGCGCGCCATTTTTAGAGAATATCGGTTTTTGTACACCCTAATTTGCAACTTGCTGCAGCCCTGAAGATCGTTGCTTAGCCGCAGAGGTGATATCGATATATCGATATCGCGCAGTGATGGGGAAGCCATTGTCGCATCAATGCCAAATTTCAAAGCAACTGACGCGCTAAACAGAAAAGTAATTTCGAGTTAGTTTTTTGTTTGGATGTATTTGCTCCAATTGAATACTGTGTGGGCTTATATTGTTATTAGAATATGTACCGCCCACGACGGACCTCAGAGTTTCATGATGACGCCCGGGATGATGGCAACGTCCCTAACAAGCGGCAAACAAGGCAAGTTGATGTGGTATACAATAGAGGATATTGAATTGAAGTTTTTCTGTTTCGTGTGTCTTACTATTATACTCAGGACGCAGCTACGCAGCACAACGTCATCCGCACACAAACCAAGTCAGATGCTTCACAGCAACTGGCAGCCGCAGTCACGGCAGTTCAGCCAGGATCGGGATCGTGGCACGCCACTTCGCACGGGTCCGCCACCCACAACAAAGCGGAGTGTGGCCAATGTCAATAGGAACAGCGTGACACCGTTGCGGCATCGGCAGGCATCGTCGGTGGAGCGGCCTGTGGTGCTGCACACGGATAAGAAGTGGGTGCAGGAGCAGTCGCAGCTTATAGCTGAATATTTGGATGAAATGGCACAGATTCATGCTCTGCAAGGCTTTCCCAACGAGTTCTTTAGCCGAGGTGGCTCGGCACTTCGCCAAATGACGATGAAACAATTTGTGGGCATTGTAAACTTTTTCCTGCAATTTATTTGGCGCAATCGCATCAGCGTGGGAACCAATCATGTTGAGGATATAACGAGAGCCTTGCATAAGCTCAATTATCCGTATCAGGTGAACAAGTCCTGGCTAATGACACCGACCACACAGCACTCGTTTGGCCATGTCGTCGTTATGCTTGACTTCCTCAAGGACTTCGCGCCGCCGTCGCCAGCTCAGCAGCAGGCATCTGGCCAATACGAGGAGTTCCCCTTCATGGAGACCAGTGAACAGCCCAGCTATGTGCAGAACACCCTCGATTCCATGGCCCTATCTGACACACAGGCAAGCAGCGTGATGCTCAACGAGGAGACGATTCAGTTGCTTTTCACCAGAGCGGCGGACTGCTTTGCTGTGTGGGACAAGCAAAAGTTGGAAGAGTATGCGGTGCTAAAGCGCGAGAGTAGCGATCGCATCATAAAAAGCCTTTGTGACTTGCCTGATACGGCAGCTCTGGACGCGGACGTCACATGCCAGCAAAAGGAGTTGCAGCAGCTGGAGGATCAGCTGCAGCTGCATACCAATAACAATCAGGAGCAGCTGGAACAGTTAAGAGCCCAGGATCAGCGTCTGGCGTTTGATCTGCAAACCATGCAAAACAATACTAAGGAATACCGTGACCAGATTGAGCAGCTATGTGCGCGTAGTGCCCAAAATGCCGACAGAATGTTGGTACTGCGCAAGGAGCGACAGCAACTGCACCGCGAAGTGGGCAAACAAAAGTGCTCAGCCGAAGAGTTCCAGCGTATGAAGGTGCTGTTGAACGATCTGGAAAATGAGGAGCAATTCTATAAGCGGCAAATGCGCGAATTCACTGAGCGCGGCTACAATCAGCAGGTCCGACTGTCGCGTGCCAAGAAGCATTTGCTGGACAAGGTGGAGAAATTTAACACACACGCGCAAAACATTGGTCTTGACTCGGACATATGCAGCGCCAGCGAGAAGGAGAAACTGGAGTTGGTATTGCCGCTGCCACCACAGCATTCCGACATTCAGGCACGCAATCGGCGTCTGACCAAACTGCTCGCATTGCTGGATAAGCGTGGCGCCCAGCACGAGGAGCGGCGTCGGCATCTGGAGCAGAACATTGCCGAATTAACGCTTCAAAATAGAAATCTTGATGTTGAACTTAACCAGTTAAATACACAGATTCAGTCATATGAGCAGCAATTGGCGCAACTGCATCAGAACTTTAAGACCAACAGCTCCATGTGGGCACAGAATCAACACCTATTGGAGGAACGCAGGCTTGCACTCAGTGTAAAGGTCGAGCAACTTCAGCGGGAACATCGCGAACTAACTGAGCTCTTGGAAAACAAAAGACAACAGAATGAGGAAACCCTCAGCGATGCTGAACGCCGACAACAGGAGCGTTTGTGCGCCAGATACGATTTTCTTAAGAAATACCAAGAGACCCTGGCAAATGGCGAGGAGAAGCTCAAAGAATTCAATGCGATTTATAAGCAAAACGAGCTCAAACTGGCCAATCTAAAAATGGAGCTCGAAAGCATCGAGTTGCCGCCATTTGAAGACGAGCTGAATGAAGTATTTAAAAATGCTAAAATTAATTAATTAACTAGTATGTTGCTTAGAATGTTTCATGGAATAAGTTATAAAAACTGAGTATGTTATTGCCAACAGGTATATATCATAAATTATACACACCTTCAAGTTTTTGCTAAGATGTCTTTGATTTGTTCATGGTAATAATGTTATTTATTGAAATGGATAGTAAAAATATATTTTTGATAAACATCAACTGTTAAATGAATACAGGCATATCCAATCTTCTGTCTCTTTACTCATATTTCATATAGTTGCTGTCTTTCTACCCTTTAAAATATTTAGACAAATATAATAATATAGCAAGTTTTATAATTTATTCAATTCAATAACTCTTTAATTTGTATGGAAAACGTACAAATGAAATAATTATTTCCATTATATGTATTATAAGATGAATGTTTAAATTATTGCATAGAATAATTTGGTAAGTCAAGCCCGTAAACGGCTTTCAATTAGATTGTACACACAGGTACAGAAATAGTTGGGCTGAATAGCTGCTTGCAAGGCCGACTGCAAAATACTCTATAAACTATCAATATGAGTGAGAAAGAGAGAGTGGTGCTACAATCGCTTGCTTTGGATTCTCGTCTAGTTATTGCCACACAGATTAAATATTTGGATTATATTGTTATAAATTGCACTTGGTACGGTTTAGGTTTTGCTTTACATTGTACTGTTTACATATACGAGCACGTGTGGGGTTGGGCCTTTCGGGGAGTGGGTGAGGATTATTGGGTGGCTTACATACATACGAATACACATACATAATATAATATATAATTTTTGGCCAATTTGAGTAATGCGAAACGGAACAAAAATGCACTGAAACAACATTGTTGTAATAAATAAGTATGTATAGTTTAGCTTAGGTAATTTATACAGAATTTGGTGTGTGAGTGTGTGTGTGTGTTGTTGGTGGTGGTTGTGTCTGTTGCATTTGTGAGATTGTTGCTCAAACTATGAAAACATCGCCATTGTTGCGTTCCACAGCAGAAGCTGTGCCGCTTGAAATAGCCAGATCACCGCCACAGCCGGTACGAAGTGGTTGAGATTGTGCTTGGGTAGTTGCTGGAGTTGTTGTTGTTGCTGCATGCTCTTGGCTGACCTTGTCAAGCAGCTCCGCCTCTCTGCCAATCTCGACGATGCCCTGCGACTTTTGCGGTGAGCTATCAGTTGACTCGTGCGCTTCTTCTAGACTCTCCTCACATATTTGGCTAGCCATGTGTATACTGACGCCAGCCACATCCAGCTCGGCCTCGTCCTTGTGATTTTGGAATGTAACTGAGATCTCTTGCGGCTGTTGCGATGCCGCAGCGCCGTCAATACCCTCGTCAATGTGACTCAGACTGTGGACTTGACTGCTATCACTGCTGGCACCAGAGCCGGAGGCAGTGCCGCCTGTGCTATTAGCGGGTGCAGTCGTTATAGATGACCACCAGCTGGAGAAGGCCCCTTTGGCCTGCGAGATGGCACCGCCAACGGCTCGGCTAGTGTTATTGACCGCCTGATTAATCTTTCGCCCGCTTTCGCTGTTCTGCATGGTTCTGTACAAACAATAAATACAATATACAATTAGGTTCATCAATTCAATTCCTGCGTTTGCTGTTTACATACTGTGCCAGCTTCAGCTTCATGTCCGCCACGGACAGAGTGCCTGCAAATGGATGTCCAGCGGGCAGCGCATCGAAAAATTCGGTATCCGGCCGCACATCGAACCACTCCTGGTAGCATTGGGTGCGCTTAAAAGCGTTCATGAAGTGCGGATTGAAGTGATCATTGTCCTTGATATCTAAGGAAACTAATTGGATAATCTGATGCAGCTTGAGCCGATGAAACCCAACTTCGACTTACCAGGTGCCACCGCAGTCCGGAGGAGCGCCAATATGTAACCCTGGAACTGCTCACGAATCCAATATTCGCTGCCTTCGGCATCCTCTTTGGGCGTTTGTACGTGTTTCAGTATATAGTCCATGAAGCGCAGGTCCTCGGTGCTGAGCACCAGCTGGCGCCGCAGCTCCGGATCGTGTGCATCCAAATTAGCCGCCTCGATATCGACGAGCACATCAGCCAGCTGGCGCTTTTGCTGAAACAGCACATTAGAGGTGCCAATGATATAGGAGAGCACCATTGGATCGCTGAGTAGGTCCATGTATGGTAGCGACAAGTAGGGCAGGCACAGGTTTCCGCTTGCAAAAATGCTGACAGGTGCTCGATAATCGTTAGGATTGATGGCGCAGAGCGCGGCCAGATTAGCTACCAAAAATAATTGGGGGTAAGCAATTGGGTAGTTTTTTGGCAAATGCGATTAAACTTACAGGCCAAGGTGTCGACGCTTGCCTCGCGAGTCAATGAGCTGCTGCGTCCATTACGTTTGCTGCCGCCGCCGGCGTGGCTGCCGCTTTCCGTTGAGTCAGCGCGCTGCAGCTCGTGGTGCGTTGGCGTCGTAGTCGGGCAGCTAGAGTCCTGTGATTGTGAGTTTGGAGTTGTATGTGGCGAGGTGTTGCCGCTGCTGTTGCAGCACTGTGAGCCAGCAGAGGCTGCCGACGAAACCAGCGTTAGGTCCTCCGCTTCCGCTACGACATCGGCTTCAGCCTCGGCCTCGGCCTCTGCTTCGCGCTGCAGCGAGTCTGTAAAATCAGGCATCGGCGAGAGTGGGCGTGAGGTGCGCACACAGGCCACCTCCTGGAAGCCCTTCTCCAACAAACGTGGTATCAGCGAGGCCATGCCCAGTATAAGCACGCACATGCCGCGCACCGGGGAGCCAAAGCAGACAACTCGCCGCTGCAGCAGAAGCAATTTGAAGAGCATCAGCGTCTTGTGACGCCAGTGAAGCACAATCTCGCGCAGCGGGAGACCCACATGAAAATGGCGCAGCGGACGGTGCGTCTCCTCGTCCAGTAGACAGGCATTCAACTGCTGGTACGCCTTCACGAGCAGCTCAGTGCAGCTAAAGTCGCCCTGGTCAAAGAAGGCGTCGGCGATAAGCGCCAGCTTCACCTCAATATAGCCATAGATGGGTAGGCGTGCCAATATGCATACTGACTTTTGTACGGTGCTGCGGGTCACGTCCGCGGTGCGTATTTTGAGCTTCTCCACGGGGATTTGGCGATAACAGGATACACCGTAAATACTTGCCGCTGGCTCGAACAGACTGGGCAGATTGAAGAATACGGTGTCCTCCATGAAATTGTGCGAGCCATCCGGTAGGGCCAAAGTGGGTAAATACTTCCAGCCGGACGGGCATTCGTTGCGACCAGTTGAGCCGGCGATTAGCGGCGGATGAGAGAACTCCACCTGGCAGCCTAGTTTGTGATGGAAGCCGACGACCAGAATGTGCAGTATAGGCGGCTTGTTCTCTGGCTCGCTGGCCATGTTTACCTTTAAACGTCACGCAAACTTTATAAAATTTTGCGACAGATGCGCCAGTCAGACAGGAACAACAACAACGAATGCTGGTGGGGAGGTGGAAACGGATGTGTTTCCTTGCTGCGTCACTGGGTCAAACAAAAGTATTAGGCAAAAATAAAACAACGCACCAAACAATAACGTAAATCACACGTACATACGTGTGTATGTGTATGTAAGATATCTTATTTCGTTGTTCTTCAAAATTTGCAAATAGAGCTGCGGGGCTATCGACAAAAGGCTGTGGTGGCTGGCCGATAAGTGATGAGTGCGATACATTTATGGTTACAATTAACCGATATTCGATTGCCAATTATCGAATGTACTTGACAACAATGTGGTTAGGCCGTTACATGTTGCCCATTTTTTGCTTAACTATATATACTCTGCATGCACATATAAAAACTAAACTAAAACAATAGACTTACGGCATTCTGAATCTGAGGCATCACAACGAGAAAACATAAAAGGGGTGTGTTACATTGAAAATTTTAAATTTAACGCGTATTTTATTAGCAATAACAGAAAATATTAACTTTGTAATCAATGAGTCATTTTTGGCGATGGGAACAAAATGGGAACGTTTTAGTCAAAGGTTCAAATATGTTGATTGTTGAAAACGTTATAAAGCAAAATTAAGTATATAGAGTTGACTCCATGTATATGTATATGCGAATTTATGGAAATATAAAGAATGAAGGAACACATAATTAAAGATAAAAATGCTTTCTTTAAATAAGTATGCAGTAAGTAATGTAAGTAGTAGGCGGAGTAGTTAAATATATTTCTGAAATGTGTAATCCGTGCTTACTTTACGCGATTTTCTATAGTTTTCTTGTTTGCTGTCTATAATTTCATTCTTAAATGTTTTATTTTTTGCTGTTTTTCATTTCGTTTAATTTGGTTGAACTTATTTTTAAATCGAACGCCGCAAGTATATATTCTAAATTTGACACACAACGAATTGTTGTTTGTTACAAAATATGTTTGCTTTTCTAAAACATCAATATAATTTATAAACACAAAAACAGAGTTTCTATTAAATATCTAACAATCTTTTGAGTACTCCTAACACAATTTAAAAGTTTTAGAATAACTGAGAATAGTGAAGTGAGATGAGTCTGAGTCACAGGCTCTCACATTTTCGCACCTTATACACACATGCTTATATACATATATGCATATGTATGCATGCCTATGTGTTTCAGTGACCGAGATTTAGAAACCTATTTTGCCTACAAAAAATAGAATATTCAAATATTTGATATCTGAACATTGCAATTCACAACTTGTTAAAGTAACATACTAATAAATATTTTAAATTACAATTTAAAGAGCTTAAAATAATATTTTCTTATTCTGTTTTAAATTTCAGGAGAATTCGACTTTGAGATATCCTTTGATCAGATTTGTATTGCCCCAACTGAAATAAAATCATTAGATTTATTATATTTCAAAATCAAAAATGTCATTATTGTATAAACATATCACACAGCAATATGCATATTAGAAATAGGCGTGGATTTTAGAGCGAGGTTCATAAACCTTAACGTTATGCAGAAAGACCCGAATATAGGAAAAGGAACAGACTTGGCTAGATAGACTCTGCTGACGATACTTAATATATATATATATATATATATATATATATATATATATATGTGTGTGTGTGTGTGTGTGTATGTGTAACGTAGAAGAGATTCCCCCCCTTTCAGACATGTTACTTATATGTGCACGACTAAATTTAATATGTGTATTGGGGGCAGATTATGTGATCTCCCATGTGTGTTGGACAAATAGAATCATAATGTGACTTGCGATTTGATATTCAAGCTGCAATAATGAAATTAAAGTTAACAAAAAGCAAACGAATGTTATCAGATCCTAAATTTTTTGCTTGGATATAGTATAGTCAAGTTTACAGGACTTTGCCTGTCTTCCTTCTATGCTATTCCTATAGGTTTGATTAAGAGCCCGGCTTTCCGAAATAAAACTAAGTTAATGTAAGTTAATAGAGCGCCTTTTGATTTTAAGATAATCAGATAAGCAAATAATCTTTTATCTTGTGCTGAACATTTCTTAGTTGTCATATGAAAAAATATAATTTACAATACAAATATGGCAAATGGGAAACATATTGTTTTGTATGTTTATGTTTAAGTTCTGTGCATCCGTTTGATTTGCAAGTAATCGCAATAAAGAGCAGCCCCCATAGATAGATATTTAAACACATTGTAGTACAACCCATATAAGCCACGCACATGCATATATATGCACGATCCTAAAATGTAGATATGTATGTGTCGAAACGAATAGAACCGAAGAAGAGCCGAGCACATCTTCGCCCACACAAGAGCCCCAAAAATAGCACCAATACCCGAAACATTGCTATTTGTTTTCCTTGATTTTGTTGATGTTGAAGATGATGCGAATTGAAATTTAGTTGAAGGCAACTAAAATATATATAACTGTATGTATATATACATATATATGTATATATGACATATATTGTTTCTGACATATGCACATACGTGCACATACTATATGCAAAACAGATTGTTGGAATATTTAGCTTGGTCTTTCTAAGTTCAAAGTTATAAATATTAGCATATGGTAAATGTACATTTACATATACAGAAACGCCCTCAATGAAATTGATATAAGAATGTATGTATGTGTGTACGTGTGAACATGTATGTGTAGCTACAGCTAAAGCCGACCAAATGGGGCTTACGTGCTTTTGAGAGCTTTTTTGTCAAATTGACATAAAAAAAAAGACATCGATTTGTAGCTAGGCTTACGATTTCCTAAAGCCCCCATTTAATGTATATGTATGTATGTGATTGTATAAGATATTGGAAATGTAAGCAAGTCAAATCATTTTGATTAGATCAAAACTAACTTTTTGATCTTAACATTCGTAATGTAATTGTAATTGCATATCTAGTAGGTCAATTCCGAGCCGACTTTCTGCTCTCCCATTTGTAGTTTTTGTTTCTTGATCTGCTGCAGGTGTGTTTTCCCATACGAAGAGCTTTTCGTAAATTGCTCAGAGTCCCGCGCCGTCTATATCCATTCGACTTGCATACATATGTATTTATAAATCTAACACCAATTTGTGTTGAGATACAGATACACATGTACGAGCAGGTCTATATTTAAGAAATAACCATATACTTTTACCCAGTGGCATGAAATGCTAAGCAAAACAAAAAACGCAAATAATGAGCACAATTGAAATGACGAGAATAATTATTCTCATTTATCATAGAGTCAAGTCCAGCGCCATGTCAACTATTTATTCATTTATATTAATTATATATTATATATGGGCACCTTACGCATTTAAAATAACTGGAGTACATTCTAAATTTAAAAAACATACTAGGCTCTTATTTCATAATTATTATTCATCAATTTTAACAAGCTGAAATCGTTCTGCTAATGAGGTTAGCTTTAACAATAACTATTAGTTAATGTATAAAGGCAAACCTCTTCAAAAATATCGATTTATATAGTTTTTCCTCTTTCTTAAAAAGAAAATAAAAATATATTTTGAGTAAAGTCAAGTAGCTACACATAATCAACTTTTCTCTTAAGGTAGTCGTAGGCAATATTATAATATTTACTTATTAATATATTTACATATTTAATATTTTATCAGCAACCTTGTTTGTTTTTTTTTTGTTCTAAATTTTTATAATATTGTCAATATATCTATGGAAATTGAAAAAAAAAAATACGTGTATTATTATATATATATATTTGTTTTATTGTTGTCTTTATTATTATTATAAATAATTAGGTTGCAACAACTTAATTTTAATAAGTAGGAGGTTCTTGTCGGGAGCTCCCGACTAAGAGATACCCTGAACCGTCTTCTTCTTACATGTCAAGTTTGGTGACTCTAGCTCATATTATTTACCAAAATTGCTCAAAAAACAGGATTTCGATATCGATTTTTAACGATTACTTGGAAACGGGGCAAGCTATCAAATATCGGAAACAAATTCGTTCTGCGCGGGCACTAGGCGGACCTACAGCCAAGTTTTAAGTCTCTAGCTCTTAAAGGTTCTGAGATCCTTGTGTTCATGCATACGGACGGACAGACAGACGGACATGGCTAGGTCGACTCAGCTGTTGATGCTGATCAAGAATATATATACGTTATGGGGTCGGAGATGCTTCCTTCTGCCTGTTACATACATTTGCACAAATACATTAAACCCTCTTTACCCATTTTTAATGAGTTCAGGGTATAAAAATGCCTGAATGTATAAAGAGTATACACCCATTCATCGGAAGATTTTACAGTCGCAACTGGCTAAGTATTTCGACAATTGCAAGACAAGCAGGGTATGCTGCTCAGGTATTAAGCAAAAATGCTGCACGAAGAAATCAAAAGAAAATCAAAAGCAGAACAATGACGAATAGATCGAACTTATAGACAGACGGACAGACGGACAGACTGAGAGACAGACAGACAGACGAACGAACGGACTAACGGCCGCTGTGCAGTAAGGCCGGCTATTTGGCAGCTAAATCCGACGTCAGCGTACATTTGTGTATGTATGTATGTGCACTCTCTATATATATATATATGTATATATATGTGATTTCTATATATAAAACTAAAATGTATTCATGATTGTCTAAAGCTGCTAAATAGTTAAGATTCGTGGGCTTTAAGGGCATGCACTGCGCTCCGCAGATGTTGCAATGTTGCAACGTTGTTTTTTTCCACATCAGAAATGCTCATGTAAAACATATTTATATGTCTATATGCATATATATACTTATATATTTGATCTAAATCTTGAAATATATTTGCACGTAGACAAACAAATGTTATTCTATGGCTGAGCTATAAACTATGCAGAGCCTGATTATATGTGTGTGTGTGTACATATATACAATACATAAGCAGCCTGAATATAATTATATATATATATATATATATATATATATATATATATATATATATATACATATATATTTAATTTAATGGGTGTGAAATTTATGTTCAACGATATTTGATTCCAAAAACAACTCAAACGCCAACGCATAGATGCGCTATATGCCAGGCTATATTCGCTCTATATATACATGCTTGATCTGGTTATAAGCATATATACACTCTCTATACATATATATATCTACATAGCACATAGCCAATTGGAAGTATTCGTTTTGGAAATCTCTTGATTTCTCTGCGTGTGTGTGTGTGTGTGTGTGCGTTTTGTTTATTCAACAAGTTTATGTTTCAGTCGCAAGAAGGCGACGCGTCGGGCGGATGTAGGCGGCGGCGGTGGCGGTGGCGGCAGCGGCAGAGGCAGCGGCCCACCTGAATTTGTTACTGCTACCAGGCTGGCATAGAGACACACACACACATACACACAACACGCACGCTGGCACCGCCGCCGCCCACGCATTGCCGCCGAGTCCCCGGTCCATGCAATAGCTATGCGCTCCTGCGCCATGGTTGCCAAGCATTTTGTGGCTCGATTGCGTAGTCTTTGTCGTTGTGTTGGTGTCCGCCTCTGTACTCCGCGCATCGCCACTTGTTGGCCATCGTTGGGGATCGCCAGCGCACCGGCATATAGCGCGCCTTTTCACGCCCGTTCGTTTAATAGAGTCTGCCAATATTTATATACGCGTACGTGTGTGTGTGTGTGTAAAGACCTTTGTCGTCTCGCTGTATGTGTGTACATAGCGCGCATGCATTGGTAGTGGTGGGAAATGCTTTTCATTTTCCGCAAGCTGAAAAAAATTCTTTAACATAACGTGTAGCATCGCTTTGGATCGTCAGTCTGTTTAGTCGAACCGCAGCATTCGCTCCTACGACGTCAGCTGCTCGGACTTTAGTTGAGAGTTCAATTTGTTTCTTTTTCCCTAAGTAAGT